TTAGATCTGGGCGCAGCTGGTAGAGGTCAGCCCCTCGCAAGCCAGCGGCTTCGACCTGTCACCCCTGGACTCGTACCGATGGTGGCCCGGGCCCGAAGCCGTCCAGCTGGATTCCCTGCCCCACCGCCAGCTCAGCGCGCCGTTCCTGGTGGACACCCTGGACCTGCAGGCTCGGGCGCGTGCCGCCGCGGCTGCGCACCGCTGTGGGACTGGACGAGGGGGAGGCGAGCAAGGATCGGAGCGAGGCAGCGGTGGGTCCTCTCACGAGCAAAGTTGCGAGGGGCCTGCCCTGCCAGGTCCGCCGCAGCCACCTGCTGCCAACAGGTCCGCCGCCTGGGAACTGGACGTCGAGCTCAGCGTCCCGACCACCGGTGATGGAAGGCTGACAGCGGTGGCCTTTTGGTGGGACGCGGAGCTGGCCCCGGCTGCCGGCCCCGGCCTCGCCCCCACGCGGCTGACCAACCGGGCGCCCGACGGCGGCCCGGTCACGACCTGTGCCGTGGCGCTGCAGCACCTCGATGGCGTGGCCGTGAAGGGCGGGGGCGCGCTGTCGCTGCGCGTGCGCCGAGACGTGGGGCAGGTCTTCTTCTCCACCTCCCCACCGCAGTGCAGGGCGCGGCACGCCCTGGTGCCGCGCTGGCACTTTGACATGGTGCGGGACGAGGCGCGCAATGTGGCCTACGACGGCGCCATAAGGTGGGAAGGAAGATGAGAGGGGAAAGTGAGGGCTGCGAGCGAGGCTGGTCTGTGATGGGGGGAGTGAAAAGGGACGTGGGTGGGAGGGTCAGCTGACCCCACAGGCGGTCCAAGGTCCGTGGTGCTGGCCTGCGCCAGCTGCGCTGCAGTGCCGGATCATCCGGAGACTCCCCTCTTACGCCTGTCCTCCACATGCTCCGCAGCCGGGCCGTGGCGCGGCTGAAATCTCGGAGGCCGGGCGGGGTGCATGTCCTGGACATGGGCGCCGGCACGGGCCTCCTCTCCATGATGGCGGTCAGGTGGGTGCATTGGTGGTGGTTGGTTGGATGGAACCCTGCCAGGGGCAGGCCGTGGTGAGGCAGCATCAACTGCACTCGTTCCAGCCCAAGTTTCTGATCAAGGGGGGGTTAGGACCAAGCGAGCAGGGCGGGCAGCCGGGGCGTCGCACTGACCGCTCCAGAGCCCTGCTGGCAGCCCCCTGTCATTTCAGGTTCCGCCCCCCACTTCCCCCACCCCAACCCCTCGTTGCAGGGCGGGCGCGGCGTCGGTGGTGGGCGCCGAGATCAACCGACACATGTGCGATGTGGCGGAGGAGTGCCTGGCGAGCAACGGGTGCCTGGGACGAGTGACGATGTTGGACCGCGACGTGCGCCGCATGGCCGCCGAGCCGGGGCCGGACTGCGCGCCCGCCGACCTGGAAAGGCGCGTGGACCTCCTCATCTACGAGGTGGGGGGCCTGGCGAGGGGAGAGGGCAGGGGGTGGGGGGAAGGGAAGCGGTCACGCTTGGTGTCTGCGGTGCATGGGGGACCAACCTCGACGCTCAAGATCCCAGGATGATGTGGGTGCTGGGCGCCGCCATGCCCCATCTCAACAGGGACTCCCCCAGATCCACTGCCAAACATCCCTGCCTGTGTGGCCCAGGTCTTTGATTCGGGGCTGATCGGGGAGGGGGTGCTGCACATCCTGGCGGCAGCCAGGGAGAAGCTGGCCGCCCCCGGCGCCCTCCTCGTCCCCGCGTCGGCCCGGGTGTTCGCGCAGCCCATCCAGATGCGACTGGAAAGCGCGGCGGGCTTTGACGTCAGCCAGGCAAACCGCTGGCGCTGGCGGCCAGACTACGAGGGCGTCGATTTGGAGGAGTGCCGGTGGGTTGAGGGGTGGGCGGTAGGGAGAGGGCTGGCAGGGTCTTGGACAGTCGGAGAAAGGGCAGCACGCCATGTGCACATGCAGGGCAGTCAATGCCCATCACAGTAACCCCATATCCCCTGCTTGACCCGCGGCGCAGGAACGACTGGGTGGCACTGGCGGACCCCGTCGAGGTGTTTGCCTTTGACTTCTCGGCCAGCCTGGAGAATATGCGGCCGGCCTCAGCCCCTCACGAGCTCCTGTTCACAGAGGTGCTGGGGTTCAGGGGCAGGGGATGGGTGGCCTGCTCTGAGCCCGGCGGGGTGAAAACACCCCTGGGGGTTGGTGACTGACGCCATGAGGCCAAAGAGCTGAGTTTCTGCCCCCCTGCCACTGAGACATGGCTCTGGGGGCCACCAGCCGTGGGCGATACATTGCCCGTCGGCCCTGCGCAATTCCTCCTCCCGGTGACCGGCCCTCACATGATGACTTCCATCCCATGCCTCGCATGCCCTCGCATCGTACAGGCCGGCGTCGTCAACGCTGTGGCCACTTGGTTCGAGCTGGAGCTGGACGAGGAGTGCACACTTTCCACCAGCCCCCACCGCTCCGGCAAGGGCCCAACCTGGCAGCAGGCAGTGCAGTGGGTGCGGGAGGAGCGGGTGGCCCCGGGCCAGACGCGGGTGCTGATCGCCTCACACGACACCTATTCCATCAGCTACGCTCTGGAGGAAGGCGCAGCGCCCGGCCCCGACCACGCCGGCGGCGTGCACTTTGCAGAGCTGTCGGACGGGGCTGGGGAGCTCGAGGATCGGGCGACGGGCGTGCCCCTCGTGGTGAGCACTGGGACAAGTGGAAGTGGGTGATGCTGCACTCCAGGTCTGAGGCCATCTAGGGAACGTCTCTGAGTATGGCAGCGTGCAGGCACTGGCTGGGCTGTGCAGTGTCTGATATTTGTTTTCTGAGAGCCAGAGCTTGGAAACCCTTCATAACCCACACCCCCACACACACTGCCGCCGCCACAGGACCCTGTCTGGAAGGAGGCGTTCGATTCGCTGCAGCCCCTGAACTCCCAGATCGTGCGGGCATGCGTCCAGGACCCCCTGGAGTACAGAGCCATTGCGCTGGAGGCCGTGGCCTTTGCCTCCCGGCCCCACGACTACGACCTGGACGCCAGCCAGGCCACCGACTTTTGCGTCAAGATGATGGGCTGAGGTTGCGGGAGGAAGGGTGTATGGCTGCCTCAGTGAATGCATGGTGAGCTGTGCAATGACACCGTGCTGACGCAAGAACTTGTTCTGTTTATACGCAGCAGAGTTCCACACGGCGTGTCTCTTGACATGAGGGTGTCGAGCACAAGAGTCAGTGAGACTGAGGCAACAGCAAGCTCGTTTTGCACTCGCGTCGTTTCCATGGGATTCTCCCTTCCAGGCAGCTATAAAATTCGAAGGAACAGGGCCCTGCGCACGCACCCCGGTCGCTTGCGCTCCTCCCATCCAGCCCCCCTCGCAGCCCTCTCACACGTCGGTGGAGAAGGAGAGGAAGGTGTCCAGGATCTGGAGGAAGGTGGGCAGGTACTGGTTCATGGCGGCATGCCCCGCCTCCTTGAAAACGACGAGCCAGGGGGCCGGCACACGCTCCGCAATGGCCCGCAGGGACTGGATGGGCACCACGATGTCGTCCTCACCCCCCACAAGCAGCAGGTCGTTGTCGATGCCGGGCACGGCGTCCCAGACATCCGTCTCCACGTAAAACTGGAAAGGTTTGGGGGGAGGGATACTGTGATGCTGCCATGGGTCGCCATCGTGAGGCGGTAAGACGCCCTTGCTCCTCTTTGGAATGTGCTTTCGAGGAACCTGATATCAACCCCTCACACCGGACAGTCTTCCCCACAAGATGCTCCCTCACATAGTCTAGTATGGCAAGGGCCTGGCGGCCAAAGGTGGTGCCATTGTAGGTGTCGTACACGGCAGAGTCGGGGTCGATGAAGCGCCGGCATGCCGCCTCGGCGGCTGCAATGTCGCGGGTTTAAGAAGGATGCGGGGATCGAATGCCTGGGCTCGAAGCATTCGGCGGGATCAGGCCCTTCCCTCCCACAGTAAATCCACTGTGCAGCGCCGTGCTACACACCAGCCCGCCCCAATCCAACCAGCCCTGGTACGCACCCACGGGGAACTGGAGGGGGAAGGAGGTGTTCAGCTGGTCCAGCTCCGTGGCATTCGGGTCGCTGAACACCTGCTGCGCCTGGAGGGAGGGCGCCTCCGACTCCGGGCTGCCGGCGCTGCCAGACACGATCACGACCTTGTTGTAGTGCTCCCCGTGCAACCCTGCCGACGCGGTAGCAATAAAGCCTCCCAGGGACAGGCCCAGGAGGTTGGGTTTGACTCCCAGCTCCAGGGCCTGAGGGGGGTGGAGAGGGAGCACGTCACATGCTGTGGCCCCAGGGTGCCTGATTTAAAGAACCAGTGCAAACTCCATGAAGAGCTCTGGAAATTCATGTCTGGGCAGTACGCTGCAGGATACAGGTCCAACGAAGGCTTCACACCCCGCACCTCCACAAAGGCGAGCGTGTCATTGGCCATAAGGGGCACCGTCAGCGGCTTAGTTGTAAAGTCCTGTGTGGCCACGACGGTAGGAAACAGTTGACTTCTTGTGCATCCGTCTCGTGGCGAGACAGCATAGAGATTGTGGCAAGGGGCATGCATAGCCAGGGAGACAGCTGCTCGATGACGGCGGTCTGTATTCGATGGCAACCCAGTCAGCACATCAACAGACCACGGTCCTCACCTTGGTGTAGCCCATGCCCCTGTTGTCAAAGATGATGACCTCCTGGTCCTCTGCCAGCGACTCCAGGAGCTCGGCGGACCAGAAACTCATGGTGGATCCCAGGCCAGCCACCAGCACCAGGGGTGGCCGGCCCGTCGTGGTATTGCCGAAGCGGTGGTATCCAACCTCCGCGCCCGGAATGGCAACGGTGCGAAGAGGCCCGACGAAGTCCAGACTGGAGCGGAGCTCGGGAGCCACATCGGAAGCAGTTACATTACAGAATTCCAGGGCGGTGGCGAGGGCATCATCTGCATCGGGGATTGATTTTCTCGGGTGAGGTTGTGCCGCGTCAGCCGCACCGACAGCAGCCGAGATGGAAGTGGCTCACCCCATGCGACGGGTTCCGAAGGGGAGAACCATCCTCAAACACTTTCTTCCATCATTGCATGCATTTGGGCGAAATCTCATACCTGCCGACACACGGTCGGGGGCCGTGAGGGCGGCCAGGAGGACAAGCACAGTCCAGGCGGCATTCCGAGGCGCCATACTGACGCTAGGCTACACTGTGGACTCAAATGCGCCGCCTGTGGAATGATGATCACCGTGTCCGAGGCATCCCCAAGCAAATCTCATACCTGGCGTTTGTGGGTCTGTGGGAGGGTCTCAGTATGACGTGGCGTCCCGGGTTGCCAACCATGCGAGAGTTGACGGTGACTCCCCATCATATTTACAGGGCCACCTCCGGAAGCAATCGGGGGGCCCGTGGGGAGGATTGCACACACATGTCATTGCAGCATGGTGTCGATCACGAATCTGGGCGGTGGAAGGTACAAAAAATTGGTTGTGGTATCACATGTCCGGGTATGCATCCAGGAACAAGTCCAGCATGCTGACGAAGCTGGGCAGGTACTGGATCCAGGCGGCGTTTCCGGCCTCCCTCAGCACCACCAGCCAGGGGGTGGTGGTACGCCTGGCAATCACCCTCAGGCCCTGGGAGGGGATCATCACGTCGTCCTCGCCTCCAACCAGCAGCAGGTCGTTCTTGATCTTGGGGAGGGCCTCGTAGACCTCATCGACATCGAAGAACTGGCGAGGGGGGGGGGATGGGGGTGGGGGTGGGTGGAAGGGTTTGAGCAGGGATGGGGGGTAGACTCCCGCATTGCTCCAGCCCATCGGCAAGCGACTGGCACCGTGCGGCAGGACCTCAAGGAGCGCTCATGCGAGTGCAGGCTCCACCCCACCCCACCCTGACTCACGAACTCAGAGAAGGCGCGGGCCTGGCGCTCAAAGGTGGTGTAGTTGAAGAAGTCCACCACGGAGGGCTCGGGGTTCCTAAAGTACGCACAGGCAGCCGCCGCAGCTGCACATGGATGGGAGTGGGCATTGAGACAGGGAGGGCGTTTGGTGTCGATGGCATGCCTCGTGCTTACTTTGCATGTCAAAGTTCGGCATGCATTGAATGGTGCGCGGGTGCTGGCGTGCATGTGGTGGTCTGCTCTGGGGACTCCGAGCCCCCCAACCCCTCCCCCCAGCGCCAGCAAGCAGAGGCCAGGCCCTGCCAACCCCGCCACGCATCTCACCGCTGGTGTGCTCCAGGGGGAACAGGAGCCAAAGCTTCTCCAGCTCGGTGGGCTCCGGGTCAGACATCAGGATGCGGTTGGCCGTGGGCGTGATGTGGCGGGAGTGCAGGCTGCCGGCGGTGCCGGACAGCACGATCACCTTGTTGTAGTACTTGCCGTGCAGGGCGGCGCAGGTGGTGGCGATCATGCCGCCCATGCCCCAGCCCATGAGGTTCACCTTGACATCCAGGTCCAGGCCCTGGGGGTGATGGGGAGGAAAGGAGGAAGGGGTAAGTGTGGACCGTGGGTGGGGTGCAGGCGGCACGCGAGCGAGGCATGGCCCCGTGGCATTCCTGCAGCTGCATGTGCAAACTTAGTGGAGGGCCCCTCCCCGGGCGCACAAGGCGAAATGAGCAGCAGGTCACCACCGTAATCTGACAACACGCACCCTGACAAAGGCGAGGGTGTCCAGAGCCATGGAGGTCACGTTGATATAGCCCTCAGTGAGATCCTGCGCATGGAGGAGGGGGGCGGCGTGAGGGTGTGCTCAAGGGCAGGAGGTGGAAGCTCGTGGGCTGACGGTCGCATGCAGGTTTTCAGGGTTGGGCAGCGTGCGCAGACGCATCCCCATCCTGCCTGATCTCAGAGGCTGGGCCACCAAAGGTGCTGACCCGCCCATTCAACACCTTCCCACCCCCCCTGCAGAACAAGTTCGCACCGTGCTCTGGCCGATCCCCCTGTTGTCGAACATGATGACCTCCTGCTGCTCGGCCAGGTACTCCAGGAAGGAGGCGGGCCAGATGGCGGAGGTCTCGCCCAGGCCGGCGACGAGCACCAAGGGGGGGCGGCCGGTGGAACTGTTGCCGAAGCGACGGTAGGCGATGTCCGCATCACCCAGGGAGACGAACTTGACGCTGCCCACAAAATCCATGTCCTTGGTCAAGGGAGGGGCCACGTCGGCGGGGGTGATGTCGCAGAAGTCGTAGACCGTCACATTCTTGGTGGCTGCAGGGCGTGTTGACAGGCATGCTATTTGAATCCATGCATCAACTTGTCGTCCGGCTCGCCAGGGGCAGTGGACGGATCGAGTCCCATGATCCTACAGGTCGCTGGTGGCCTGATGCTGCCGCCGCGCGGCATCGGGCATCCGTAGGGTCCTAGGGCAGGGCAGGCAAGATGACACCGAACAGAAACCAAACAGAACGCACAACCTTTGCCTACCGATCAGTCCCGCGGCGGAGGCGGACAGGACGCATCCGAGCAGGAGCACGGCCACAGCGGCCTTGAATGAGACCATATCTATGCAGATGTGAGGGAAACCGGTGGAAATCGAGTGCGTAGAAGAGGCCAAATTGAATTTGTCAGGGGGCGAAAGATTAATGTGGAGGAGAGAATGAGGGTCTGTGATGTGATCGCCGACCCTTGTTTGCTTCCAGATGCTCGGCCAGCCGAGGACCGCGGGGAGTTCCGGGCATGGGAAGAAATCGGCACTACGCGCTTCCGGACGTCGTCATGAGACAGCTGGACCCGAGAGCCCGAGCCCCAATCTGTCCTGGCGCATCACAATTATCTTGCCGCTCAGTAATGCGCATGATAAAAAGAATATCTTGGATGCAATAAGTGGCTCGGACGGTTGCATCGGATCAAGCCTGTGGGATCTTGGGCCGGGCGTCATCAGAAACCTTCATCGACCCAGGTCACCGTGTTGCCAGCGACGCCGTCCGCTCGACTGGTCAGCGAGTGGAGGGGGCCCTCCGACCACGTCAGATTGATGTGGGCCTCCCAAACGCGCGGCAACAAGACCATTGGGGTTTGAGGCACCAAGGCCTCTCCTTCTCCTCTGCTCTGGGTACTTCGCATTCCATAGGCCAAGGAATCTCCACGACATCGGCATCCGAGAACGTTCAACTCATGTGATCAAGCGCAGGCTATGCTTGGAGTTCAACAAATCGAAATGATGAAGGAATACGTTATGGGGGTAATTTCCCTTGCCTCATCGTCATCTACGCTCAGACCAATGCGCCAGGACATTGCTGCTCGGGCGGCCGCTCTTTCGATTTGTGGGGCCTGGCCTTATGCCTGGTAGGGCAATTGGCAAAGCAGGCCGTCTCCAGAGCGGGATCGCGAAAGGCTTCTGGCGGTGTTCTCCCAAAGGCAAACTCACAGCTGGAAAGTGGGGCAGATGGTGGTGGAGTGGACGTGTGGGTGTGAACAGATCCCAGCACTGGGCTGGTGCCTCTTCGCCATGCAAACATCAGCAATTAACCTGCCAGTGAGGTGCCCTCACATGGGAGGCTCCAGGGAGCGTTTGTCAGAGCACGGGGCCCCGCACCTCACCTGAAATCGCCGTAGTTTGGCGTCATCGTGAGAGGCAGTCCCATGTCCTCCATGAAAAATCGCTGGGTGGGGAACTTGCAGCTGTTCAGGCAGACGGAAGCGCACCCTGACTCCTCCAGGTACCTACACCTGCACCCGAGGGGAATGGCTTGCGACATCTTTGCCAATTGGCCAGTCGCACAACCTGGAGGCGGCAAGACGTTGCGCTGCCACGCTTCTCTCGTGACATCACGCTGGGGCAGGCAGAATGCACCCATACCGGCACCGGCCTGAATCAAGAACCTCCACGAGCAATGCCAGCAGTCCACGTGCCTCTCGACTTTCACGCCCTGGCCGGCCTTTGGCTGACCGTCCCCATCGTCCACGGCCATTACCGAGCAGGGCCCCATCAGCCACTGGCAGGTGACTGCCGTGGCCCAAGCATTCAATCTCGCAGAGAAGGCGGGGAAGGGCTTGGAGAACATCACCTGGAGGTGCGGGGGGCAGGCAGGGTGTTGGGGCGCCGCACCGATGACACAGCAAGGCCGTTGAAAATGCACGAGTCCTGCAGACAGAAGCCAGTGTAACTCACAGCAAAGGCACCCGGCAGCCAGGGGGGAAACAGCGACTTCAGGATGGACACCGTTGCTGCCTGGGTGTCGGCGGGAGTGTTTGGAGCGTCGTTCAGCTCCCGGGTGAGGTCGATTATCGCTGCATATCTGGGAACATGTGTGAAGGGGTCCAGGTTTTCCAGGGTCCTTGCATCTGTGCCCGGCAGCAGCTGAGTATGCCCTCGCTCCCCCACCGCACCCCTGCTTTGGGCTGTCATGTCCGACTGCAGCGGCCATTTTCCTCCTGTAGCAGTCATGGGAGATGTGTGCCTGGGTGGGCATGCCCTGCACGCGCCTCTACCCAGCGCAGCACTGGGCAATCACCTGAACAGGCTGTAAACTACCCTGTTGAGTGGAGTTCCATCCAGTGCGCTGTAGTCCGTGTTGAGGGGGCCTGGTTCCGCATGACGCAGGCCAAAACCCCTGATCAGATGGCGGGGTAAGCTGCCAGGATGCCTCCCATGACCTGGGTCTGTCCGGACCCCAATGGGACACGGCGCGGGGCTGGGCAAGCCCAATGCCATGCGAACCGGAGTCTAATGGCCTGTAATGAGCTCTGTGAGCTGTAAAGTTTCGTCGGCCTGCCCCAGCCCATTCCGTTGTCAAGTTGCACCGTGGGCGTTGGGTGGCAGAATCCATTCCATGGTTCTGGTGGGGGGCCCTGGCCCCGGCTCAGGGCGCGAGAGCTGTCATGCCGCATGGACGCTGAGGATGGGAGGACAGCGGCCGTCGCCGAGCATCGGCATTGGTCTTGATTTCTGATACACATCTTAGAGAGCAGGGCCAGTGCTCCATGAGCAGCACTGCCTGCATAGCTCACTACCTCCCTCCGCCAAAGCTCGGGCCCCGCCCCGCATGGGATGGCAGCGGCAGGGCCCGCGGGCGATGCAGGCCCTCCAAGACGATTCGAAGCACCCACAAATGTGTTCGGAGTGCAATGCACCCTGATCCATGGATGGCGGTCGCGGGACTGACCGGCCTGAGTTCCGCGGCGGTTGGATGGGGGTGGAGGGGGAGGCGTGGCGTTGCGGGCCCCTCCCCGCCTCCACCAGCGCCCTCACAGGAGCCGCACGTCCCCTGTCGCAACAGGGACGACGTGTGGGAGCGGGCCTGGGCGCCCTTTGAGGTCGGGCGGACCAGGGCCCCACGCTGCAGAACCCTAGTGCTCATGGTGAGGGGGTGGCCGGATGCCCGGGCCGATGATAGGCCCCTGGACTCGAACACCCAGTCCCATATCCCTCAGGGCCCCAACAGTTATCCCTCCTTTCTTCCCCACGCACCAGGGCATCGCACCGGCAGAGCAGTCCAGGCTGGTTGCCTTGGCGCTGGCTGCGTTGGAACGGGGCCTCCCTGCCCTTCCTGCCGCTGACCTGGCAGGCGCCGAGAAGGCGTCCCTCGCTTGCACATGCCATGCAGTGCTCACTGGCGCAGCCAGGGTAGTGGCCCAGGCCTGGCTGGGGTACCTGCCGTTCAATCTGGCCGGCGGCACCGAGGCCTGCAATGGAGAGGCAGGCGGTGCGCAGGCCGGCGCCGTAGAACGGCGGCCCGACCCCATCGCGGCGCGGCTGCAAGAGACTGCGCCCCTCTGCCACGCCGTCATTCGCCTGCTGGGGAGCCAGAACGAGTGGGGGGAGGCGAGCGGGGCCGCGGGGCGGGAGGAAGCCCTGCTGTCGGCCGCGGGCCCCGGTTTGGGCCGGGCCGCGGCCTTGACGCAGCTGGAGGCCGGAGGCCGGGCCGCCCCGAGGTGAGGCAACTGGGCGACGATCATCTGGCGCCAACGGCACTCGTGTATACTGAGCGAGTGCCCCTGGCAGACGGCATGGGGGTGCGCCGTCCCGCCGGCGTGCATTGGTTGTGCTGTGAGCCTGACTCCCACAGCCCTGTGTAGGGCTCCAAGGTCCCCCAAAATACCCCCCTCTCCCGCTGCAACACCCGCGCTCAGGGGTTGGAGCGCGGACACTCACGGGCGCGGGCCCTCCCCTGCCATTGTCTCCCTGGCGCCCTCCGTCCTGCAGGACGCCGCGGTGACGGTGGCCGAGGCGGTGGCGGCGGCCTACCTCGCCGACGTGGCGGCCGGGACCCCACCCCCCGCCCTCCCTGCGCGCCTCCTCCTCAGCGCACCAGGGCTCCGGCGCCGGCCTGGGACCGCCAGCGGCGAGTCGCGACGGCCACGGTCGATCCAGTGCCGGCGGCGCATCCCAAGTTGAGCCGCCCACCGTGGCAGGTGGGGCGGCGCTTGGCGCTGCATCGGTCCAGGGACCCCGCCCCGCCCCGCTCCCTGCAGCACCCTGCGCGCCCGCGCCCGCCGTCACCCCCGCCGCCCCGGCGAGCCCCGCCCCGCCCCCACCCTCGCTGCTGGAGGCCTCGCTGTGGCCCACCCTGGTGCACCCGCAGCTGGCCTCCACTCGCGCGCTGCAGCGCTTTCTGAACCAGGTGGCGCTGGCGTGCTGGGTGGAGGCCCAGTACCACAGCGTGCAGTGCATGCTGGAGGACAGGCTTGTGCTGCGCACGCTGGGGCCGGGCGGGAGCGTGCAGGTGGGGGGCGGGGCGCCTCGTAA